AAAGCTCTTTCCATTGCTCTGCCCACATTTGTCCTGGAAAGTTGCCCACAGACAAGGCTCTCAGACTAAATAAGATTTGCTGCCCCTGTGTTAAAAATGAAGAAAGCGGAAAGAGTATCACCATGGTAAGTCCTTGTCTCCCACTTCAGAACCAGTCTGGATGTTTAATTATGGCCTCTGAAACTGGGCAGTGGCCTGACATTGGACACCCCAAATTCACCTGTCCTGGATGGGGTGACAAATTATAGGCAGATGTTATGCCTCTAGTATCTAGCATGTTTGCTTCTAGTATCTTTGACGTGTGTTTTACTCAGATGGGGACATATTACTACAACTAATTAAAATGATGATGATGATGATACACTGTAAATACGCAGTGAAGGTGAAAGAGACTGAGCACAAGAAGAAGACGCAATATGAAAATACAATGATGGAAACTGCAACGCAGTTGCTACCTTTCAGAAAGATGATACATTTGAGCTGAATAATTGTTCAGAATTGCCTAGTAGGTACTTTGTCAGAGTACCCCCCAGGCAGGCAACAGTTCAATCTGCCAGTAACACAACTCCAAGCTGAGCAGGAAGATAACTAGACAGATGCCTTAGAGGCAGGTCATCAAACAAGGGGATGCGTTCCAGACCAGATACCTGTTCGAGTCTGCCCAGAAAGGAAGGTATAATCCTTTTGTATATCCCCTCTCAGACAGGCAGCTTATACAGCAGGTCAGCATGTAGATATGCCTGGCAGGCAAAGAATTATGCAAGGCAGCCTACCCCTTGCTCCAAAAAAGTTATCAAGACAAGTTGAGAACTTCATTCAAATGGCTTCTCAGGAAAGATATTTCCTGCACCAAATCATACGAGCTCCTTCAGTTTAGTTGCTGAATGTGTTAAAGGCACATTTCCAGAATGAAACTACACATTTCCTTTGCCAAAAATAAAACTTTACTTTTATAAGATCCTTGGGGAGTTTTTGAAAATCAGAGGAGTAAAATAACTTTATAAGAACTCTTGGCAGATCCTGAAGCTGAGACTCCAATACTTTGGCCACCTCACGAGAAGAGAAGACTCCCTGGAAAAGACCCTGATGTTCGGAAAGATGGAGGGCACAAGGAGAAGGGGACGACAGAGGACGAGATGGTTGGATAGTGTTCTTGAAGCTACCAGCATGAGTTTGACCAGACTGTGGGAGGCAGTGGAAGACAGAAGTGCCTGGCGTGCTCTGGTCCATGGGGTCACAAAGAGTCAGACACGACTAAACGACTAAACAACAACAGCTATAAATAAAAATGCACAGATTTCCCCTATTGTGGGTTCAGTTTCAGGTTTCGCTCTGTTCACTTTTCAGATGGACTTGCAAAATTCAGAGGGTGAGATTTTATTAACCCTTATTAGCTATAACTAGATTTAATGCCGAAGATTAATACTGTTGAATACGGAATAATGCTGAATATTGAATGTTGTTACGATAGAGTTGGGTAGTTGAATTTTTTAAAAAATGAGGTCTTTACAGTGCCTTTTTATGGAATAAGCTGTGTTGTAGGAACACTTCTGTATAAGTCACATTAATTCACCTATGGTTTATTTGAAGGTATGCACAGTAAAAGTAACCAGCATGTGCTAATAGGCCCTGGGTCATTTTTTATTTTTTTATGAGTGAGCATGTCCTTTTTACTCAGGCCACTCATTTCAAGTTTTCCTCATTGTTTTTTAACAACATATGAAAAGCCTCCCAAGATGCTCATTAATCAAATGTAATCAGATAGCCCCCAGCATACCAGCACATTGTCTTCCAATATTATGAAATGAACAGGGCATCTTACTTTGGTCATGTTCCATTTCAACACATGTCAGCCAACGTATTGAAGTGTATCTCCTTTTTAAAACAAAGACAGCTGGTGTGAAGCAGGAACGGAGAAATGTTTTCAATCGAGAGCTGCTTTCCTCCTGGGCAATCTTCCAGTGGTGGTTGAGAGTTGAAAGGTAAAGAGTGTGTGCAGCCAAAGGCAAAAGCGGTCAGAGCAGCAGATGTCACGTTTATATTTGTGTGGTCACTCTCACATCTACCCAGGCAAGTAGTTCAAGGACACATGCCAGCCAGGCAAAGTGCTCAAGGAGAGAGCAAAGGAGAGCTGGAGAGAGGTGCAGCCTGGGAAAGGGGGTGTGGCCTAGAAAAGGGGCAGGGCCTGGAAGACCCAACAGTTACCAGCTAAGTTACAGGGGTAGGTCTTGGGAATCAGGAGCTGAGACCCTCCAAGTGCCCCTATTTTCCAGGAACAATCCCAGATTTACAGAAGCCTGGTTTCTGATTTGATCCTGGAATGCCCTGCTTTTCCTTAGGACATCCCTATTTTCATTGGAGAAATGTTGGAAGGTATGGAGTTACGAGACCCCTGAGCCAAGGAGATAAGTAGCTATACAACTTTTAGAAGACATGTGATGGGATAGGGAAGCTTCTTAATCTTTAATGTTTTTATATGTGTTAGAAGCCACCCAGAGTGGCTGGGGTAACCCAGTCAGATGGGAGGGGTATAAATATTATTAGTATGATGATGATGATGATGACGACGACGGAATAGGATGTCCCTATTTTCATTGGAGAAATGTTGGAGGTTTTTAGAGGCTTCGTTGGAAAGGTATGATGGACTTGAAATGTTAAACCAGGCATGTCCGATCACTCATCATAGTTTCAATTTGCACATTTTATAATATTGCCTTACAACAACAGTGTGTTGTATTCTCATAGTTAAAAAAAGCAGGCTTCCTTTTTTATGTGTGCTGCATATGTAGCCACTTCAATGGGTTTAAGAGATAGCAAGAATGGCTGGCTGGAATAACTGCTTTCACAGTCTCCCTGTATCTGGCGTGAATAGGATAGCTATGTAGCGTAATGGAGTGATAAATGGTGAGCTCCTGACTTCGCTCTAATTACAGGGGTTGAAAATTCGGCATGTCTTTACAAGACTTCAAGGGAGTTCCTCCCTGGGCTGATTTCAATCCAGCGTAGCGAAGACCTAATTCGGTGAAAAGCTCAATTAGAACGAAGGCTCAGGGTCACAGTTCCAGTCATTTAGCTAGATTAAAAGCCTGTTTCAGTGTAAGGCAAAAGCAGAACAAGGTGGAATACCTAAAAGAGATCAGCCCTTTTGAGTACCTCTGCAGAGGCCACTCAAGGAAGCAGTGGGGAGAGGAAGGGAGCAGTGCAGACTGCCCTGGGCACAAGCGTAAGAGAAGTAGGCTCGTAATTATACACCGGATTACATTATTCTTTCATGCTTTATTGGCTTCCTTTGCATTCACACAGTGTCGCTTCAAGTACATGAAAAGGAGCACTGAAAATGTGCATCCATAAAAGCTCTTGCTATACTCCAGTTTTCTGGAAGCGGGCAGTTTAATACATCAAAAGCATGAAGATCTTCCTTTTATAGTACCCGAAAACCAAGTGCAAAACTGGCAAGAGGAACCAATATTCTTAAGGTATTCACAACCATAGCCACCACTTCTGCTTGGCATTTTGTAGTTTCTGAGTGTCCAGTAAGTAACAGGCAGTAAAAATAAGTTGCCTCATTTCTAGAATTTATATACAGTGGTACCTCGGGTTAAGTACTTAAGTTGTTCCGGAGGTCCGTTCTTAACCTGAAACTGTTCTTAACTTGAAGCACCACTTTAGCTAATGGGGCCTCCTGCTGCCACTGCGCCACCAGAGCACAATTTCTGTTCTCATCCTGAAGCAAAGTTCTTAACCTGAGGTGATATTTCTGGGTTAGTGGAGTCCGTAACCTGAAGTCTGTGACACTGTACCTGAGTGGTACCTCGGGTATGTAACCCGAGGTACCACTGTACAGTATTTCAAATTCTCCGTACAGTATTTGAAGCAGTAACTAATCTATTAAAATTCAAAGGTCATTGCTAGAGCACAACCATTCATAAATTGTAAACGTTACACATCAAATCATAGAATTGTAAAGTTGGAAGGGATCCCAAAGGCCATCTAGTCCAGCCCCCTGCAATTCAGGAATCTCAAATAAGCATCCAAGTCAGATGGCCACCCAACCTCTGCTTAAAACCTCCTAGGAAGGAGAATCCGCCACCTTCCAAGGGAGTCTGTTCCACTGCTTAACAACTCTTGCCATCAGAAAATTATTCCTGATGTCAGAATCTCCTTTCTTGTAACTTGAATCACATGTAGATAAACCCGTGTGCCTGGGAAATTATCTGTGAGTTAGCACCAGGCATTTGAAGGTCATTTAAAGCACCCTCCCCCCCCCCCACGAAATCCTAGGAACTGTTTCTCTGTGGACTTGGCTATACAGCTACAAATAAAATGTTTTAAGTTGTAAAGTGCAATATATAAATGTGACACTAGATGGTGATGATGAGCTATGGCAAATTCAATATATTTTTCAAAACTTTTTTTTTTTTTTTAAAGCATTTTCACAGCGTTTTCTTATATGTGTGTAGATTCCACCTGTGAGTGGTAAACTACAGCTCCTGCAGTTCTTGAGGGGGCAGAGTGATATGTTGTAAATGTGCTTTTAGCATATGCAGCCTTAGATGATCCCAAAGTGTTGGTGTTGTGAAAGAAATTTATAAAGTGCAGGCTCCAGACTCACAATTTCAGCATTCAGGTGCAGTTGAATGAAGGCATAAAATGAAATTATTAGTTTTACATGTTATTTCTTTTGTTCCAGTCATTAACTCTGTGTGGTTCACAAACTGTGGCTTGAGGAAGCTTCCTTTGAAATCTTAGAGTTTTCTGGGTTCATAGTATACGTCAGAACTGGGGAATCCATCACTTGCTTTCTGTTGCTGGATGCTAACTTCCATCAATATGGTCAGGGATGAAAGCAGCTATAGCAGGCATAGGCAAACTCGGCCCTCCAGATATTTTGGGACTACAACTCCCACCATCCCTAGCTAACAGGACCAGTGGTCAGGGATGATGGGAGTTGTAGTCCCAAAACATCCGGAGGACCGAGTTTGCCTATGCCTGAGCTATAGCCTCACAACATCACAAGGGCCACAGGATTATCATCCTTGGTATAAGGAATCCCAAGCCATTTCCCCCTTTTAACACAGCTCTTCAAACCCCTTCTATCTGCTTAAGGAGCACAGTGATCTGCAGGGGCCATTTTGTGTTGATTAGTGAATTGATGTTCTTGCCTTTCAACACTGGCTCTGGCCTGGTGAAACGCTCTGTTTCATGAGACCAGAGCCCTGTAGGATCTGATTTCTTTCCGCACGGCCTGTAAGACAGAGTTGTTCTGCCTGGCCTTTGGCTTGGAATCAATTTGATTCCCCCCTCTCTTTCTTTTTTCCTTTTTCCTCCTATGATGAGGCTGCATTTTAATGTTTTAATGTTGTATTTTAATCTTGTTTTTTAAGTTGTATTTCAATCAACTTGTTTTATTATTGGTTGTTAGCCGCCCTGAGCCCGGTCTTGGCTGAGGAGGGCAGGGTATAAATTAAATTTATTATTATTATTATTGACCTCCAGACTGTCGTTATTTTGCAGGAGGGATTCAGACTTTAGGTTTATGAAATTCAAGTAGAGTAATGTGCTTTGTCATCATAGCACGACAAATCCAGTCTAAAAGACCCAGACTTTTGTGGTTAGGAAAGTGATGGTGAAATACACCGAAATGACAGGTAAACACCCAACAAGCAAATCAGAATGAGTGCAGGGTAAATGCTTGTTGTTGTACAACCGGCCCATAAACCAATGAGAAGCAATGCTCAATAAAGACCTCACAGAGTGGTGCAAGCTTTGTGCAAGTGAATCAGAATGAAAACTGAATAAACAAGTTTTATTATGGAAGAGCCCTTACGACATGGAGTCGGATTAAATTTTGGGCTCTTTCTATTAATTCCATGACTGTACTTTGTCAGTTGGGTATTAAAATGTTGCCTGTAAAATGATGAGAGATTTGCACAGACTTAGTCTTGCCTATATTATTAGTTGCAAGCAACAATGCCAGCTCTGAGCTATTACACCTTCCTTAAGGCGATTCATTCCCCACAGCGCTTTCCTAAATGTTATCTCAATCAATAACGAAGCAATTAAAGCCACCAATGTTTTGGATGTTTTACAAGCCTCTCTGAGTTCTCTAGCCATTTCCTGGTGAACTTTCAAGCAGTCTTGGGGTTAAAAACAAGGATCATTAAGTCTCTTTTCTTGTCCTTAATCACTGGATCAGCTCTTTGTTGTATCAGCTGCAAAGCTTCACTCCTTTCAAGTCCTTCCGCAAGTTTCCCTTCCTTAATTCAGAAAAAAAGAAGTAAAGAGGTTCAGGAAGGGTGTGTGGAAAGTGCCATTATGCCGGTTGGTCAGAAAACACATGAGGAGTGCAGTGGGGATGAGCATGCAAGCTCTGACACCTCTCTGTCATTGTACCCATTACCTTTAACTTGGAAGTGGGGAGCTGACTGCAGGGGGCAGCCTCCAGTATCTGTGGAGGCTCCCTATGCTTTTGAGAACAATGGAAAATCAGAGTTCTAAAATGTGCAGGGACCTTCCAAAGTCACCCTCCACAAGTTGAGGATAATAGGAATTATGGGGGGAGAGGAGCAGAGATAGCACATTGCCTCCACCTGGTTTCCCATTCCCCTCCTGAACGCTGCATTGTAATGTCCTGCAGAGGGCTTAGATGGCGCTGGAATTTGCTGTATCTTGGTGGAATCAGGGGTTTCCTGTAGCTGTTCCTGTTTAAAAGAGACAATGAAATTTCTGTCCAACTTCCTGGCTGGTGTGGTCTCCAAGCTTTCTATGATAAATAGGTCCTAAAATGCCATACTCTCCAAGTGTCCCAATTTCCCAGGGACAGTCCTGGTACTATGAAAGCCATCCCAGCTTCTAATTTGATCTCACAGTGTACCTATTTCCTCTTCCAGAGCCACCGCTGCTAAGCTCAGAGAGGAGTGTGAGCCAGTGCTTGTCCTGAGAGCTGGTGGCGGCGGCAGCTGTGGCTGTGAGGGAGCCTCTCCATGGCCGGTGATGTGGGCCTCCTCCCTTGGGCAGCTTGTAGTGGCTGCTGGAGAGTGGGCAAGGAGTAAGGAAGGCTGCAGCTGCCAAGGCCCAGCTGCCGAGGCCCTGTGGATACACTGATTCTGAGGGCCAGGTAGATGGCAGGGCCGCCCTGGATGAGAAGCAAGATGGAGCAGAGCAGAGTGCAAGGAGTCTTGGAGTTGGTTGTTTGTTTGTTTGTTTACTTGCTTGCTTGCTTGTTTTAAAATGCTTTGTGCATCCATGTCTACCCATGCCGATTTGTTGTGTTTTTCTTTTTGTCAGAAAAGAATAAAAAATAAAATTGGGATTAAGGGACGGTGGAGGGTGTGTATGCTGTGTCCCATTGCTGTAGTGGTGGTGGCACTCAGCCTTCTGATAGGAAATGCTGGGGGGGTGACAAAAACTGGTGGGGTCAGTTGTGTGGGGAGGGGAGTGAGAAATGTCCCTACTTTCATCTGAGGAATGTTGGAGGGTATGAAATGCTAGAATAAAATTTGGCACCTTGCCATTTTGGATTGTGTTTATTAAATTTCCCTATCACAAAACCAACCCCTGAAACCTATATGTGTTGATGTTGGGCTCATTTTGTTATGAGAGAGGGAAATATTCAGTGATACCCATTTTCCTGGATTCAGATGTCAAACAGCAAAGGGCAATCCTACAAAAATACAAGGACTGGTATGATATGACCATGATGCTGCAAGTATACATAAAGAACTACAGAAATTGCTTGGAATCTGGCAAGAAATGTCGACTGTTCTTCGATTTATTTTTCTGTATGTGTCTGAATATTGCTGGATGGATTTCCAGGAGACTCTCAGCTATGGCTGGCACGGGGCAGTTTAAACTAAAAAGTGACTCCCAGGGAGCAATATGGTCATGTACATGGTACTTTAAGAGTGCATGCAACAACATTCCAAACCTGGAGAAAATATACTGGCTTATAATCTTCTAGTATATTTCTTCTATATTCCCTCTTGGGGTCTTTCCTCTGGCTAGTAGCTATACAGCTGTGCTCCACACTGTTGGAAAAGAATGAAAGCCTCATTAAAAGCTTCTCAGTACCAGTTGGTTCCAAATTAAGCAAAGGAGATTTTGCCCATCAATAGGCAAAAAGTACAAGGTGGCCAATGTTGCATTGGGTAGTACTGTTCAAGAAACACAAACTAAAACCCTCCTTGCTCTCCTGGAATTAGCCACATGAAGCCTAGCTAAAATCAATTATCAATATGTCATTTCAGTGATTATATTAGTGAATAATGAATGCATTGCACAAGAAGCACAATTTGTGGAGTGTGTTTTTCTGGCTATGTTCAATTCTGTGGATTTCTCTGCTTAAACCATGAAACATCAATGCTGAGCCTGAAGGACTGCATCACACAGCAATAGTGAGACTATTGTGTGGCAGTCACGAAACCACAAATAGGCATTAGCAATGTTTGCAAGATGGCATGATGACACTCTAGGCCAAGAATGTCAAAGCAGCTGGTCGTTTTGGAGCATTTGCATTTGTGATAAGAGGGAGGCATCTCTGGTAACTCAACACTAGAGTGGAAAAGCTGATCAATATTTAGACAAACAATGACAATAATCTTCTGAAGGGGGGTCACGTAAAAATGGTTATTTAGTTCTGGCAATTAGTTTGAGTGCCAGTCAGATGATTCAGCTGGGAAAACCTGGACTGTGACCTTTCTGGGGCTTTAAAGTGTGATGGCGCTGTCATTTTTTATGGAAAAGCCATGCATAATGAATGAGTGCAAATGCTAACCTTTTAATAAGTAAATGGTTGAGGAAGGCATGTTTTGAAAACGGCCAAAAATGGTCCATATTAAGTATGCATGACTGGTGCTTGGAAGAAAAAGTGATAGAAGTTCCTCCAGCCATCATCTGTCCAGTTCAAAATGATAAGAGGTCTATGTACATGCAGGAAAGGCATTTATATTGGCATGTTGGTCAGTGTTTATATAAAAGTTCATTCCAGTGCTTATCCAGACACCCTTGACCTGGCTGCATGCACTATATGATGCACATGAAGACACACCTTCCCATCTTGGGGACCAGTTGTTTGAGACTGGAGGCAAACAGTTCATGGTATGACATTGCAGATTTTCGGAAGGAGGGTGATTCAGAAATGACCCCCCACAGCTTGGAAATTAAGGGCATGAACCCAAATCATTCTGAATTGCAGTTCAGCTCATGAATAATTTTGGCTTGTTCTGAGCTGTCCTCACCAAGGCCCTTTCCCCCTCTCATGGATTGAGCTTTTTGCGATCAAAGCAGCAGCAACAAAGGGCTGCATAGGAGAAGGTTGCTTAAATCTGAAAGCCTTATACAGTGGTACCTTGGGTTACATATGCTTCAGGTTACAGACTCTGCTAACCCAGAAATAGTACCTCGGGTTAAGAACTTTGCTTCAGGATGAGAACAGAAATCGTGCGGCAGCGGTGCGGCAGCAGCAGGAGGCCCCATTAGCTAAAGTGGTGCTTCAGGTTAAGAAAAGTTTCAGGTTAAGAACGGACCTCTGGAACGAATTAAGTTCTTAACCAGAGGTACCACTGTAGTTCAGTTAGTGGCTCAAACATAATAGGAAATGTAAGATGCCAGGACTACTGGGACCTTGAACATGGAGACCTCGATAAACTACCATTCCCAGGAGTCTTCAAGTTGAACATCTCTTGTTTGAGGCCCAAGGAGTAGTCATCTCTTTCACACAGGTCTCGCCTGTCTATGAGGTAGACTGAAGCAGTCACCTCAGGCAGAGGAATCCCATGGGGCATCACCAAGGTTATGCAGCAGCAGCAGCTTCGAGAAAGATCTTGCAAAGCTCTAAAGAGTGTCATGTGACCACTTGAGACCTCGCCAGAAGACGATAATGATGTGAGACCCCAGTAAGCAAGGTTTCGGCAGCAGTGGTGGGAAAGCAGAACTTTCCCATTTCACCTCAGGTGGTGAAATGGGATTGGCCAACCCTGCTTTCACACCCTTAGCACATCTACCAGAAAGGTACCTTTGGTAAACAGGAAGGTGACAGAATGACTGTGACAGGGGGACTGGCTATAGGGAAAGTTGGGGGCAGTAGGGGCTGACAGGGCCTAAAATTGCTTGATGAAGTTTGGAAAGAATGAAAACACAGTCCAAATCAAGAAGCGGTGAAGGGCTGTAATTCAAGGACCTTGGTGGTAAACTTATTACCCCAAATAATTAAGGCATATGCTTAATGCTCTGTTGACTGACTTGTATAAGATCTGGAACAAAGCACCACCTTTCGGAAATTCTCTCCAGATGTCAATTCTGCCTTTGAATGTCCGGGAAATTCTGGACATATGGCAGCCCTATTTTAGGTATGGAAAAATCAATAGACAGTGCTAAGTTAATTCCAAATGCACCAGTTAATTACATTAAAACTATTCATCAAAAATTCTCTCCGTTCCATTTAACTTTTATATATTTTTCTTGTGAGATGATAGATGATAGATGATAGATAGATAGATAGATAGATAGATAGATGATAGATAGATAGATAGCAATGATATGTTAAAACCTCAGTCATGCAAACTGTATGACTGAGGTAAGATGCCCATCAGTTTAAGTCAACATAATAGTAGTACTATGAGTGCTTTGCAAAGTATTACAAAAAGGCTAATCTGTGAATTATTATATTAAAGCTATTCCTTCAAAAGCCTGTTGAAAAGAAGGTAGATACACAGAGTATTTGTGTGTGGAAATGGATGGAAGCAGGTATATGAATTTTGGGGAGGCATGAATGTACCTGCATGTGAGAGTAACACCTACACTTTTAAAAATGTGTCCCAGAAATGCATGTCTTTCTTAACAGTAGAAACCAGGGAAGAACTGTAGCTTAGTGGTAGAGCATCTGCTTCCCATGCAAAAAGTCCCAGGTTCAATTCCTGGTGTCCTCAGAGTACAGCTGGGAATAATTCCTTCTTGAAACCCTGGAGAAAGGCCCTGTCAGCCACTATAGGCTTTAGCTAATGGGGCCTCCACCTGCCGCTGCGCGATTTCTGTTCTCATCCTGAGGTAAAGTTCTTAACCTGAGGTACTGCTTCCGGGTTAGCGGAGTCTGTAACCCGAAGTGTTTGTAACCCGAAGTACCACTGTACCAAGCTATATGGACTCAGTATAGTCTGATTCAGTATAATGCAGCTTCCTATGTACAGTATTTCAACATTTTAAATATGTAGTCCCTGTGAATTGTAAAAATGGTGTCTGAAAGGAAAACCTTGATTCTCCATGTCTAGCAAGTGGCTGTTCTCTTAATATTGGGAAGCAAGATACTGGAGCAGCTTCTGGGAGGCAAGGGGGGCTCTTTCTATCCTGCTCAAGCACCTGAAGGGAGGATAAAGCACTTACTGAAATTGAGGGCAAAGGTTGGGGAAAGGGCTTCCATTTCCCCACTGCACATGCTCACTGCAGCTTCCCGGAGAGCTTGCACATTTTTACATGACAAGGGGGAAACAGGTGCACAGCTCCGGCGTAGCTGTGCAGCTACTTTGAGGTGGCAGCTCCACCTCCTTCGCCTTATTTACAGAGCAACCATATGCTAGATCTAAAAGGAGCAACCATTCAAAAAATGACCCTGCTGCTGGAGGGGAGTTGGGAGAGCAGCGGCTGATGCTAACAGGAGCAATGTGGCAGCTGCTGTGCATAAAAGTGATGGGGCCGAGGGGCTGCTGGGCTCACCATGAAGTCGAGCGGGGGTGCTGCATCCGACCTGGAGGAACTGGAGAGCGGCAGCAGCGAGAGCAGCTCCGGAAAATCCTTGACTTCCACCGGAGCCCAAGGGAAACGCAAGCGGAAGAGCCCTCGGCTGAGCGGGCTGAGCAAGCAGAGGCAAGCTGCCAATGCCCGGGAGAGGGACCGAACCCACAGTGTGAACACAGCCTTCAGCACCCTCCGCACCCTCATCCCAACCGAGCCCGCAGACCGCAAGCTGTCCAAGATAGAGACCTTGCGCCTGGCCTCCAGCTACATCTCCCACCTGGCTAACATGCTGCTCCTACAGCAGCAGCAGCAGCAGCAGCCACCGCAACAGAGCGAGAGCTTGGGGGAGGAACAGCTGCCTTCGAGGCAGCCCTGCTTGCAATACCAGCCTCTCCTGCAGGGCGGTGGCACAGCAACGGCACCAAGACCAATCTGTACCTTCTGCCTGAGCAACCAGAGGAAGCTGGTAAGGCTGGCATCTAGCACTCAGTAACACCCCACCCCACAAACGTATACACCGCAAGCTGTGGCCTGCACGGATTGGGGTTGTTTTCAGCAGAGGTGTAGCAAGGGAGAATTTTGCAGGAAGGTGAGCCTCTGCTCTGGTCATCGGCTTTAAAGCCTGCGCCTGAACTGGCATCAAATTGAGGAACGTATCAGAAAGGTGAACTAGAGCTTTCATTTCCTCAGTGCGTCCAGTTGGGGAACCAAAATATGTACAGAACAGACAATCCTTGTCTGGAACTGTTAGGGCACTATGTGTGTGTGCGCGCGCACTCCTTCTTTTTAAAGCATGTTCCTTACAAAAACTCACTCCCTTCATGTGAGCATTGCTTGAATAAATGTGCAAAAGCTGCAGTTTGCTTTGTGTTGTAGCTGGGAAAAATAATTTGCATTTCCCTCTTATTTTGGGGATTTGCATCATCACCTGCCAATTGTAACATCCTGTTTACATTTGGGGCCTTTGTGTGTTTTCCTTTTATTTTGTTCCATACTGTATGAAGATTTTTCTCTTTCTCTTCCTCAATAGAATATTTTTTTTAAAAAAGAATATTTCCCCCCTTTCTTTTAGCTTCATTGTGCCTGGTCTATTTTATAGCTTGCACTGAAAAGAATTTATATACATAAATTTCATATTTCAAAACTGTCAGTGTTTGAAATGTTCAGGCGTTTAAACCCCAACCAACCGTGAAGTGCACAGGTGAAGCTTATCTCTGCTTTGGTGGCTAGGACCTTTTATATTAACAGGTAAAATTTGGGTGAGATGGCCACTGACAACTGAACTGAAATAAAACTTTAATGTATGGTTTATGTGCACTGCCTCGTTATAATGGATGCCTTTATTCTATTTGCAGCACAGAGAAAGGGAGAAACACTTGTCTCTTTAAAAGCATTGTGGACATTGATTCAGAAGAGAAGCTTGCACAAATACCGGACTGGTTATAGAACAGTTGTAGGTAACCTCTCTCTCTCTCTCTCTCTCTCTGCCACTTATATCATAATGTTTACATTGAAATCATGCAATTGCATAAAAAAGGGAAAGGGGGGGGGAGGACTAACCCTGATCTGCACTTTGTTTTCCATTGCCAGAGGCTTATTCAAAGGGGATTTTTGCAGTTGAAACTGAACACGGTGGGGAAAGTTGCACCTGGCGTGGCAGCTATTTTCGTGCAAGAAATGCTAAACTTAAGCAGCCAAGCCCTGATACTGATGCCTCCTAGACCTATGTCACATGATGGAACTTGAGCTGTCAAACACCCGGCGTCTCCTCTTAATGGGAGACTCTCATAATGCACCCGGCTCAAAGCCTCTAGCTACCATTGGACGGCTAAGCCATGTCACACCGCCCTCTCTCTTTTTCAGCCAAAACCTCATTGGCCTCTGCTAGCAGATTCAAGGATTTCCACTAAAATTGCGCATTAAAGGATTGTACACAAATTACAGGAGAAGCACATACCCAAAGGCTAGAGCGGTTGTACCCATTTTGTTTCTTGATCAACACAGTGTGGTTCCTCTTGCCAGTCCGTGGGCCAGACAAGAAGAAATTAATTGCATTTAGCATATTATGTTTTTATTCTAAAAAAAATAGTAGCTGTGAGGAAGATCAGGAGAGAACTGACATTTCCCCCCTCTGCTCTACCATCCTGGTGAAAATACACCACCATGATCACGCACTGCTTTTACTTTCAAAGTAAAACAAAACCCATTAAATGCTTATGTCCATTTAATGTACCATTTAGTTTTTTCCCACCCCAGACGGTCACAGGGGGAAAGGGCAGGAATTTCCTCTGTCCAGTCAAGATTTGCTCAAAATGAATCAAAATAACATCCATCCTGTGTCTCTCAATCATAGTCAGTCCAGGGCCAGATCGCTTTTTGCTGTGTGTGAGAAAGACAATGTAGTGTAGCGACAAGTAAAAACCTGTTGTGCTACAACCGCTTGCTTCTCCTCTCTCACAAGGTAGCTTAAGCATGTCTATTTTATCGTCTCTCTACTGCAGATGCTGAGGGAAGTCGTCATGTAACTTTGTACCCATGGTACTGAAATGAGCAAAGCACCCCGATGTCAGCTTCAGAACAAACCCATCTTTGGCCATGTGAACGTAGCCACAGACTTGCACCACAGCTCTGCTGTCAAATCAGCTTAGCCAAATGGCTCTGGAGGGAGATGCAGCCAAACTGAGAGGAGGTTCTCCACTTAGGCCTGAAACTTGAGAAGGGCTGTCGAGTGACTCAGGCCAATTCTTGAAACAGTGTGGGATCTTTCTAAATTTGTTCATCATTGAAGTGTGGAGCAGGGAAAGTTCCCAAGGGCCCTCTAAATTTATCTGCTCTCCTTGGTTACTCGCAAGTTGTGCCTGTACATTATCACTGGTGCTACAGTATCTGACGGCTGGTCGACATGTAAGCCTGCAATCTTTATTTTGAATTAAGCTGAGCAAGTTTTGGGAGGGTTTTTTAAGCCACTTTTCCAAACACGGGCAGAATAATAAAGCAAAACAACATTAGTTCACAGTAGAGGGGTTTCTAAAATGGTCAGACAAAGCTTTCGTTAAGTAGACATATACATTGTTTAGAGCGGGAATAAGAGGTGTGTGCTTGCGCGTGTGTGAAAACATTTTCGCAATGTGGTATGTCACCGTAACATATGGCCTCATCTTTCATATCTAAAAGTAATTAATCCTACTCAGCTGGGGTGCTCGCTAGGTGACCTTGGGCCAGTCACTATTTCTCAGTTTAACCCACCTCACAGGGTTGTTGTGAGAATAAACTGGGGATTGGAGGAGAACCCTGAGCATCTTGGAGGAAAGCTGGGTTATAAATGTAATAAATAAACAAACAAACAAATAAATACAAAAATCAGGAAAAAGACATAAATTGGGAAAATCAGTCGAGATTAACGATGCTCCAATAATGATTCCTCAGCATTCCTAAATAATAATAATAATACGTATATATTAATCCCTGAGTTAAGCCACATGAAAGTAATGCTCTGTGGCATACATTTCACAATGTAGATGAATGTTTAATTCTCTTAGCCAGGCATCCCCAAACTTGTCTCTCCAGCTGTTTTGGGACTACAATTCCCATCATCGCTGACCACTGGTCCTGTTAGCTAGGGATGATGAGAGTTGTAGTCCCAAAACAGCTGCAGGGCCGAGTTTGGGGATGCCTGCTCTTAGCTATCACAAACCCTTCATCATAAATTTTGCTTATATTCAAGGAAGAATATAGAGCAGGTTGGTTTAACCCTAAGTAAACCTCTCCCCTTCGGTGAAGCAACTTTTGTGGTCCTACTCACAACCATCCAAATTTCTGTGGCTTTTCCTGACAGGAAGCTTAAATACAGCTACCAGTTTTGGAGACAAAATGAACCAGCATGTCAGAGTGTATTTTTTTTTATTAAAAAACCTACTAAGCTAGGGTATGTTGATAGGCAGTTTGAAAGAATATGAAACACATTCCACTTCTTCCTCACAGTCTGGGGGTCAGTGCCCTGTTTTGATGGTCACTTCCCCCCTTGTGCCCATGACAGCTCCTTGCTCATAATAAGTCAACTGTCATATTTCCCTTAAGCGGACTTGGGGATTTTGCACACCTCTGACAAAGCTACACAGCTCAGACTGAGTAGAGGTGGCCTGCATGAAGTTAACAAGCCTCATGCTGACCCATTTATAACAAAGTGGTCATCATAGGCACAAGAAAAGCGTCAGCCATCAGGTCCTATTTAGTGACTGGTTCATATGAATTTTGTTCACATTTTGGGCATACATCCCTCCTTCATTTTCTATTGCACTCCTGTAATTTTCAAAATGTTACATGCACTTTTAATAATTATCTTTCAATTGCTTTGGAAAGAATAATCATATTCTAAAGGAGGACTGGATTATGACCCTTTGTCAATTCTAAAGAAAACAGGTGTTCCAAACAGGCCAATTTCCCCACTATTCTGTTGCATTGGTTGGGAAAAAATGCCCTTGCTGAATGTTTTCTATTTTAGAGCTCTTAAAGGGACATAAGGGCTTTCTCCTTCTTAGAAGCTGATGCCCATGCTACTTAATTTTTTAAAAGTCTTTTACAATTGGAATAAATATAGTCTGGTGTTCTTATATTTTTTTTTTACCAGAAACAGTAGACTATTCCATTACAGTACACTTCATCCGCACTATCCTTTCATAAACAGGTAAATAGCATCTGAATTATAAGTACTCCCCACGATATAGATAGTTAGATAGATGATAGATAGATAGATAGATAGATAGATAGACAGATGATAGATAGAGATAGAGATAGATAAATAAATAGATGTAGATAGATATAGATAGATGATATATTAAGCTCATCCACCCAGTCTTTTTGATTCCCCCCCTTTAATTATACATATAATGTCATATCTATATATGTGCAGTCCAGGTTTCCTTAAGTAACCAGCACATGAGCAGGGACATAGAACTATGCATATAACTGTACAAAAATACTTAGCCATCATGAAATTATGCTGCAGAAATATAGTCCCGCATGGGACTTCAGTCCTTGAAATGCATGATGGACATACATTTTGCAAATAATTTCGCTTTAAGAAAAAGCACAAGCAGCCCGGATGCTCAATGGAAGAGACAATCCAATATGGGCAAAGCTCGATTGGAACAGAACAGTCAAATTCTGTTAAAATGAAGTCGTCCTCTGTCCTTAATCCTAATATTTAAATAGCTCCTCCTGAACATTTGGGTAGTTTTACAGTTCTTTCTACTGGGCCCCTGCATGAATATTTATGCTGATAACTACTAACAGAAGTTAAGCGTTTGGTTTGTGAGATCATGAAAGTCAGCAATCAAATGAATATGACTCAAGGGATTACTATATCCTACAGTGTATAGTGAGGCAAGACTTTAATCTTCAAGTTGTTCTAGCTAAGGCTCCCGAGTCCATAAGCAGCTATGCTTCTGATGCTTCCCCACACCAAGGCCTCTCCAGGCAGCTGAGGGATGCAGCCAACCTGAAGCAGACCTAAAGTGCATCGCAAGCGCATGAACTTGTTCTTAAGCAGCCATTTACCTTCTGCCAAGGTTGTTGCAACTTTGCATTGGCAAGACTGCATCTGCTTCACACCCACAACTCCAGGATCCTTTACATTTTTGGGATTTGGGGCTCTTTCAATGTTATTTTGGTGATAACTGTCCACCTACAGCAATTTAGAGGTCAGGGTTTCCAAATACTAACCTTGAGACTCTGTGTCCACCATTGGATCTCTGAATTTGCAGTTCACTACCCCACACACTAACCTTGTAGCTGTGTTCCTATACGTGTGCACATACTATGCTGTCATAGTTTATGCATTTTTTTTAACCATATGGGTAGAAAGAAGTAGTGAGTACCATTTATCTGCTGCAAGCCAACTGCTTGTTCTGGACATGCAGGCTCCAACACACAGCTGGAACTCTCTCACCTGCATAATAAACCCCACTGTCATGAAGAGGGGCTGTGCAAAAGGGTATTCTTTGGAGCAGAATATCCAGACGGACTATGCTGTAAAATGTTTCAGTTCAATTGGGTGCTATCTCTTGAATTTACACTTTTAAGATGCCTCGTATAGACCTATGAAAATAGAAGTGGAAAGCCTAGTTCTCTTGAAAATGTACATAACAAAGTATGCTTTATATTGATGTTGCTTAATGTGCTAATTTTCAAATCCAAGCATCTCTGTTTATTCAATGTACGGCTGCTATGTAAGGCAGTTAATGTCATTCTAAAGCACACCAGGGCCGGTTAAATCAGAATGCTCAGGAATAAAATCTTACTGTGGTATCCTAGGCTTTACTCAGCCTTACAGTTTACAACTTGTGTGGCAACATGGAATGTCATGCAAGCCAAGGGCACAGAATTCCATGCAGGAGGTGGTAGGTCTTGCCATTCCTCCTCAGCAATCTGCTTGGTTTCTGTGCTGGGTTGGAGAAAAAGGAACCTATTCATCAGCTCTGTCCTTCCTCTTCCAGCCTGTCCAGAACCCTGCATTCCCATGTTGACTTTGAAGTAAGAGGGTTGTATGTCTCCATCACCAGCATGGAAACATAGTGGAATAGCCTCTTGTCAGAGTTGTAAAAAATAAAATAAAATAAATATTGGCTACTAAACTTTGTAGGCTTATTCGCAAGGCTGATGCTACTGATAAGAGGAAAATCATTAACATATTTTTAACAAAAGCTTTTAAACATACTACCTAACTACTACTAATGGTTCAAAATGCCCATTTGTGCTCTTATAAGAACAGCCAGGGTTGTTTTTTTAAAAAAAATTATTATTACTGCCCTTTGGGCTGAACAGTAGTAACAATGCCTGTGTAAAAGAGACAAGTTTGTTTATAAAAGCCTGAAAATTTCTTCTAAAATAAAGTGTATTTTTGTAAGACAGATTTAACATTAAAATAATTCTAAACATACATTTTCCTCTGTATTTTTATTTTGCTGTTGAAAAATATCTCTTAGATAAGACGCTCAAGCAATAGGCGGTGGTTGCTTATGCTAAAACATCGGGGAGTGGGGAGTGATGTAGCAGCTGTTTCTCACCTTCTACTCCTGATATTCAATAAAAGAAGGCGGGGAGAGGACCATATCTGCTAGCTTGGCCCCCAATTTGCATGCATACCCAAAGAGTCAAACAGGTAGATACATTTTTGGCAGAGAAAGGGAACCACTTTCAGCCCAAGGGCTGGATTTGAAATTGGGTAGCCTTCTGAGGGCTGCTTTAGGTATAGAAGCAAAAAAGAGGTGAGGCAGAAGCAGCTTAGTCATGCTGGCCACATGACCCAGGGAGGGAAATGCAATATTTTTGCATACATTTTACATTTAAATCCCCCTTTAAAAGGTAAAGGTAAAGGACCCCTGACAGTTACCGGTAAGTCCAGTGGCGAACGACTCTGGGGTTGTGGCACTCATCTCGCTTTATACGCCGAGGGAGCCGACGTTTGTCCGCAGACAGTTTTTTCCAGGTCATGTGGCCAGCATGACTAAGCCACTTCTGGCGAACAAGAGCTGCACACCGAAACGCCGTTTACCTTCCCGCCGGAGCAGTACCTATTTATCTACTTGCACTTTGACTTGCTTTCGAACTGCTAGGTTGGCAGGAGCTGGGACCGAACAATGGGAGCTCATCCCATCGCGGGGATTCAAACCGCCGAATTTAAATACATTATACACACACACGTCCACATAAGTTGTGTAAGATTTTAAACATAACCCAAGGAAAGCCATGGAAAGTAGTGGATCAACATGACTGACAGGTGACCTCAAATGACATCATATGAATGACGAGTGGGTAGAGTTCGCTAGAAATGGCCTTGTGGGCCAAATTATGTCTGCAGCCTAGAGGTTCCCTAGCTCTGGTGTAGAGTTGAAAATGTCTAAACTCTGTGATGGCACTTTCCACACAGCACTGATGTTCAATGAAGTAGCCTTCTTCCACACTGGTAAATTTATAGTGTCACACCTTCACTGAGCTTAGAGTGGCTAATTTAAACAAATGAGAGATGTGATATAATTTTTTGGTGCCTTGTTTTGCTTCCATTTTTATTCTTATTCTTGTTAAGGCTAGGGGCCTCAATAGTTGGAAGTGGCCCAGGCGTCTCTGGACCTTTGAGCTGCAACTGATAGTAGAGATCCTAAGCCTTATTGTGGCATTGCCTTTTTGCATTTATATGGACGCACTGGGAAGGGGAATGATCACTGCAGAGGGTTGGACCAGATGACCCTTTGGATTCCTTCCAACTCAACATGTTTATGTTTCTATTACCAAACTTGCTGCCGTACTTGTGAACAACACAAACATTCAACAAACACTATCCCTTCCATCAAGAAACCATAGAATCAACAGATGTATGACCCACATATATGTGTGTGTGTCTTTTCCCAACAATAGCCTTATGGTATTAAAGAAATATGTCCCAAAACAACAACAACAACAACAACAACAAGGTTTGTTGCTGATACAATTGCACATTGCCATGCTCATACATACCTGTTGAATTTGATGCATTCATCTGATGTGAATAAGGCTACACCAGTCACACAGAAACACAAGCACAAAGAAGAAGAAGAAGAAGAAGAAGAAGAAGAAGAAGAGGAGGAGGAGGAGGAGGAGGAGGAGGAGGAGGAGGAGGAGGAGTTTGGATTTGATATCTCGCCTTATCACTACCCGAAGGAGTCTCAAAGCGGCTAACATTCTCCTTTCCCTTCCTCCTCCACAACAAACACTCTGTGAGGTGAGTGTGACTGGCCCAAGGTCACCCAGCAGCTGCATGTGGAGGAACAGAGACGCGAACCCGGTTCCCCAGATTACGAGTCTACTGCTCTTAACCACTACACCACACTGGTGTACACACAAAGCTCAACTAGGGCCCACAATGTAGCCCATCAAGCACACATTATTTGCAAGTTCCATTGAAATGAGCAGGGCTTTCTGAAAGGTCTGAGAAATTATTTCACTGGCTAAAAATATTGCAGAACAGACCTACACTACATAAATCTTTCCGAATTAGTTCAGAAAATAATCCAATGTCTTGGGCAAGCACAGCCATTCAGAACATTTATTTCTAAGTTGAGAGACATCCATTTCCTTTACGTGAAAACAAAAACAAAGCACTTTGATACATAATTAACGTTTGCAAAGTTGAGTTTGGGAGAAAAGACAATTTCAAAAAGCTGATAGCTGGTATCCAATGATTTTGCAACCCAAGCAAAACACACTTCACAGGTGCAACCTGTCCTTCTACACACAAACTGCAGCTCTCTGCAACACCTGAAAAACTTATCTGAAAGGTGCCCTTACCTAGTAGAGCAAGGGTGGACAACCTGTGGTCTTCCCAGCATATTTGAGTCCAACTCCAATCAGCCCTGGCCAAGCATAGCCAATGATCAGGGACAATGAGAGCTATAATCCAGCAACATCTGGAAAGGCTACAGGTTCTCCACTCCTGTACTAGGACTTGTTTTGATAGGGCATGAGAGGTGCAGGTGGGAAATAGAATTGGTTACCTTTCTGTACTAGTAGAAGCACCTTCTGCTCTCACAGCAGAATCCAAGCCACTGTTGGCTGTTAATGCATATTCTCTTGTTTACAAACCTGTCGACATATCCTTCAAGGCACCCAGTGACATCATTCATCCAAACGTATGCAGTAGTTATTGAACTTGTCGACCAAAGAGCAACCATGCCAAAAGAAGAACTTCGCCTGAGGAAAAGGCCAGACAGCTGTCAGGTTTAGATGGGATCAGGCAGCTGGGACTCCTCCACCTGAAAGAGGGCTTTGTACTTTGAAGCTGAGCCTTCCTAGCAAAGAAACAATATGTTCAGAATGAAGAACAGCAAACTCAAATGGGCTTTCGGCCAATAAAAAAAAAACCCAAAGGGTTTCAATAAGCCATGCATTATGAAATACGTTCCAGTCAGACAGGTGTGTTAGTGGCAACACGTATTGCCGATGAACATGAATACATCAGGGCAAATGTAAAAGTACATTTGTGAAAAATGTGAAAGCAAAGAAAATCTAGAAGAAGAAGCAGCAGCAGAAGAAATATGATTACGTTGGCTAGAAGTGACACTAAATATACATGTGTCATTTAAAATAGCCATGTTTTGCTTCCCTGTGCCTAATAATTTAACTGAAGTAACTCATATCAAATAGCACAGCATTCTGTGTTTCTTCACCAGCTGGTATCAGCCAATTACATGTGGCAGTGAAATGGTGATCATCATGGTGTCAGGACACATGAAAACACATTATATCCGACATGAATGTTATCTTATTCTTGTCTTTTCTAGGAGACCCAGACATCTACCTGGATATATCCTTAATCTGCTCATCTTCAAGCCACATTGCTGTGTTTCTCTTAGAGGAGAAATTAGTACATTTAAATCTGTGGAAATTAATCCACAAGTGGGGATCCATGAATGTTTCATGGTTGGTGGGGTGATTGGGTTCAAAGGACATCTGAGCTCTGGTGAGACACCATTGTTAAAACATCTGCACTGGCTGCAGGACCGTGCAGAGCTTGTCTGAGGCCTGGGGCAGGAGTCTTCTTAAGAGTAAAGTTATAAGCTCAAAGAAGAAAAAGCAGCCGGTCCCTGGCAGCACCCCACTCCACAGCTGGTTTAGCCCTCCAAGGTCCAGGGCAAGTGTACACAGCTGGCCACCCCCTCTGCCTGGGCCTGACTGGCGGTCCATCTGCTACCAAGCCAAGTTCAAAGTCTTTGTATTAATTTACAACTCGGGTCTAAGTCACTTAGGGAGTGCCTGAACCCTTATATCCTAGCTCAGTCATTGGGATCATCTATCTGTAGGAGTGTTGCTGGTTGTGTCCCAGGTTAGTGAGGCTCATGTGGCATCAGCACAAAACCAAACTTTTAGTGTAATTTGTCTAGTCCTGTGGAATGTTCTTCCAGCAGGGATTTAGCAGGCATCTTCAATATTGACTTTTAAATGTTTGCTGAAAACTTTCCTTTGCATCTCGGCTTATGCAGACAAGTGAGATTAAACACTTTCTGTAATAGTAAATTGGCAATCTGTTTAAATAAGAATAACCTGTGCTTTTTATTTTGCATATATAATGGTTGTAAACTGCTTCGATACTTTTGATGAAATTGCAGTATACACAGGGTGTGTGTGTGTGTGTGTGTGTGTGTGTGGATAAATGGATGCATGTGTGTGTGTACACACCAGCTTATATTAGTTTTAAATACAACCCAGAAAAAAGTAATCACTTTAACTCTGGTTGATATAAATGAGGAAAATAAAACTCAACACCCCCACTGAACTCAGTCATATTTAGAGTTATAGAATTAGCATCCATTTATTTCCAGGTGCAACTATTTCTACCTCCCTCCATAACATATATGGATTGACAATAAAATGAATAGCAGGAGATAGTCGGACCATTTCCTTGCCAGAATATCAATTCAGCCTTCAGGCATTTGAGCTAAAATCTGTAGGCACCTAACAATTAACTCCAACTAGCACCTGCAGGACTCTTTAATTCCTCTACTTCACAGACAGAGCTTTCCAAAATGTGTGTCGCGACATATTAATGTGTCAGCTGAAATGTTGTAGGTGTGCCATGCAAACGCTACCTATGCTCCTCCCGGGGCTGGAAAGGGGTTAGTTTAACCTCTGTTTTGCTAGTAAAACTGAATTATTGCGTTGAGAAATGATGCATAAGAAGTGTGACACCAACATGAAAAGTTTTGAAAGCTCTGTTAGGAAATATAGATGTCTAACCCATTAATTTGAGTACTATTCTGACATTTAAAAATGTGAATGGAAGTGAATATTAAATTTATTCACACTGAAAACTGAAATGCTGCTTTGTTACTTATGCATTACATGGAGGTCTTCTGGTTCCATACTCGGGGTCCTGATAATATATTTTCTTTGGTTCTGTG